GGGGAGAGGGTTCACAGTTTTCCGATTTTAAGAGGTTCAAGTCACCATAGATATAGAATGTAATAAAAATAAACAATAGATTATCTTTTTCTGTTATGCCTCTACTCAACTATCCAACAGGCTCCCAAGGAGCTGGTTTCCAAAAAGAAAATTAAATATTTCCAAAAAGAAAATTAAGCCTAAGTTCAAGAGTTGACAGTAGATTTTTAGACTGTGGCATGCCTGCTAATACCCACTTGCACACTCTCCCTAAAACTCAGAAGGTAGAAACGATAACATGCTGTTAAGAATGAGTACGTTGACCTAAAGTAGATTAATTCATATCGTAGCAGCTGAAATCAGTTCAGTCACTGTCTGTGGTAGAAAGGCAACAAGAAAAAAGGAAATAACACCTGACCCAGAGTACTGAGACTAGGAATCTAGTCCTAGTTATACCTAATTCAATCTGTGACCTCGGACAAATCCCTTGTCCTTCCGGGCTTGTGTCGCATCTGTAAAATGCAGGCTACCAAAGTAGAACAAAGGTTTGCAAACTCTTTTAATGCGATTAACATTTTGTTCAGATAAAATCTCCCAAAATTCATCAAATGCTAAAACAAATTCAAAATGGCAAGCTGGACACATGCATTTATCTCCACCCTCTCTCGCAATCTCGTTAACTTACTATTAACGAACACATACTGCTAATTGAGCATTTAGTACATGACTGCTTTTTAGTACTAATGAATCCTCAACACTCATATTAGATAGGAACTAACATGATCCTCATTTTACAGATCAAGAAACTGAATCTCCCAGCATTTAAGGAACTTGTCCAAGTTTTGATAGATAGTAAGTGGCAGAGCCAGGATTCAAACCCAGGCAGCTCCAGAGTCTAATTGCCTCTCAGGCTGACAATCAAAGAATAGCTAAGGTATAGGTTCACAAGGAAAAAACAAAAAAAGCAGAGAGAGACAGATTAAAAATGTCAACAAAACTTTAGAAAATGAAAAGCAAATGAATGAGTAGTAAGTGACTTAGATGGAGAATACTGAGTGCTGCAGGCAGGAAGCCAGTTCTCACTGTAGAACCCTTCAAAAACCCAACCACTGGAGGTAGCAGTTTCCTCTGAAGGTGTGAGCAAGAGGAGGGGCTGAAAAGAGGCGGTACTGGTCCCTTCCCCCAGACAAGTAACTGCTCTGCTCCTTCACTGCCCCAGCAGATGACTGGAGGTTTACTCTCTGAACAGGTTGAACTAGCGACTCCAGGCTTGGGTAACCACGGCTTTGCTGAAGATAACGAAGTAGCACTGTTCAGGAGGATTAACAGAAATTCTGCATACTAAGCAAAAGCCCCCAGTCTCCTCCCCAGAGTGGTAATAGCCAGGCTTACACGACCTAGGCAGAAACCTAGAGGAAGATCTATAGACTCTGACTATATCCCAATGAAAAAGGCAGGTCCATCATCCTACAGCTGTGACTCTCAGAATGTGGTCCTCAGCAGAAGCAGGATCACTAGGGAACTTGTCAGAAATGTAAACTGTCGGGCCCATGCCAAACCTAATGAATCAGAAATTCTAGGGTGGCGCCCAACAACTAGTGTTGTTTCTGTTGTTATTTTTAAGTTGCAAATTTAAAAAAAAAAATTCTATTTATTTTTGTTGTTGAAAATACATACAGCAGAACATAAACCAAATGAACAATTTCTACATGTACAATTCAGTGATACTGATTACATTCTTCAAGTTGTGCATTCTCACCCTCCTTTTCCAAATTGTTCTTCCCCTATTAACATAAGCTCACTGCCCCCGAAACTTCCAACCTAACCTTTACAAGTTGCTGTTGTCAATTCATAGGAATCCTGGTGGCGCAGTGGTTAAGCACTCGGCTGCTAACCGAAAGGTTGACAGTTTTAATCTACCAGCGGCTCCTCGGAAGAAAGATGTGGCAGTCTGCTTCCGCAGAGATTACAGCCTTGGAAACCCTATGGGGCAGTTCTACTATGCCCTATCTGGTCACTATGAATCTACTCAATGGCAACGGGTTTAGTTTGGTTGTCAATTTGATCCCATATAGACAGCTCTTTAAAAAAGCACAATGCTCAAGGCAGACATTCTTTACTAATTAAGCTAAACTATTGTTTGTTTGAAGAAGATTTCAGGGGATATTTTTGGTTTAAGGTTTAGAGATGTATCTCAGGGCAATAGTTTCAGGGGTTTAGCCAGCCTCATTGGCTCTAGAAAGTCTACAACAGTAGTTTAATAAGGCTACCAGATGATTCTAGTTTTCACTAAAGTTTGGGGATAACTGCTCTACATGGAGGCCCACTAGTCAATCAGCCCATTCCACACCAAAAAGCTTCCAACCAGCTTTTTAGTGCCTCTCTGTTTATTTGGAAGACAGTCGGGAATCACCAGAAATTTGAGGAAAGACTCTGTCATGAAAGGGACAGACCAAAACAGATTCCACAGAGTAGCTCTAGCGAAGGGGAGTGACATGAGGTTTGCTTGGCCTCTCCCTGGCCCCCATCATCACATTGCTACTGAGCTACTCCTCAGGCTCTGCATAATGGTTTAAAAAACCAAGGACTTATATGTTCTCTATGATCGTGTCCAACTCTAGCCTATGCCTTTACACTGGTCTTTATGTCCCACACCCTTGAAATTCAGACAGCAATTGAGGCTGACACTCTTGGTCAGGACTACCTTTGATACTTTACTTGTCCCTGCGAATGAACAAAAAAGTATTTTAATGGAAAAATCATACAAGTATTTTTCTGCTAAAGGTTTCCTGTATTCTGTAATTTCATTAAGTGCAGAGTCAAAACACACAGTTTTAATTCATGTGGAAGTATCTGTGACTATTCCTCTCTGGCATGCCCTTGTTGCTTCTCTGAGTCTCATATACGTTTTCTGGTTCACCCCTGCAGCCCAAATCTTAATTCAAAAAACTTCTCCTATTACTGCTTTGCACCAGTCTCTACTCACCCCAAGTATTACTGCCACAACCACATCTTTCTTCTGCTTACACATCTCTAGGGGCCTAGATATCTTCCACCATGTAATCACTGCTTCCTTTAGTACACGGATTTCCCTCAGTCCCCTTGGCTCCCCTTTCCGGCCTGAAAAGATCCCTTCCCCTCTCAGAGCACTTCACTCCTCTCCTGGAAAACTAACCTCCTTCAGGACAGGTTTCAGTCAGTGAAAAACTTACAAATGCCAGGTATTATGCAAAGAATACCACAAATATTCTCACTTAATCCTCATACTAATAAGGGGATTAGGAATCATCCCTATTTTCACATTTGGAAAATTGAGGCTTAGAGAGATTAAGTAACCTGCCCAAGGTTACAACAGGATTTTAATCCAAATCCTACTGTCTCCAAACTTATTCTTAGACATTCTATTCTATTGCCTCCAGAGGTCTGACTCAAATATGTGGAAGGGAAGCTTCCTTAACTCTGTAGAAAGGGTCCTCCACAGATGCAGAGAGACTTCCAGCCAAATCACAAGGGCAGGGCTTGCAGCAGCATCTCCCCACCTGGAGGGCTCCACATGGCTCAGCAGCTTGGCCAAGGAGCAACACAGCATGCCTCTCCAGCAGGAATGGATGCGAAGCATAGGAGGGAGACTGGCTCTTGAGACTAGAATGCTGGTGGGGAACAGGCAGTCAAGAGATCCCTCCCCTACTGATGTCTGCACCTTTCTCTCCACCCAGCCCATTAGCCCAGCCTCCAGGACCTTTGTGATGGTGGTGAGGGTGGAG